AAACGCTGCGAGCGCCCCCGTCCCCCCGTGCCCGTCCTTCCCCGGAGCAGGCAGGGTGCCAGGCAGCTGCCTGCAAACCAGAGACCCCCTCGGTGGCACTGGGGGACACTGGTTTGGACTGGAGCAGCCCCTGGGGAGCGGGCAGCGGGGCTGGGGGCAGTTGGGGACATTTGTGGGGTGGCTGGGGACACTCGTGGGGTGCCCGGGGACACTCGTGGGGTGCCCCAGGCTCTGCCCGTCCTGCCCGCAGCAGGCAGGGGAGAAGGGAAGCCCTGCGGCGGGAAGGAGGCCCCGCGGTGCCACCGCGTCCCCGCGTCCCCGCTCCGCCGGAGGCGCCTCGTTATGGGGGGAAAAAAAGGGAAAAAGGGGGGAAAGAAGCGTCAGTCGGTGTGGGACCAGGCAAAGGACTGGTCAAACTGGGCTGGCAAACCCACTGCTGCCGAGCGGCAACCGGCCGGGCTGGCAGAGCGGGTGCAGCGGTGGCCGAGGGCCAGCGGATCCCGGCACAGATCCTGGCACAGATCCGGCTCCCTCGAGGTTAATGTTCAACCCGCAGCCGCCCCAGCTGGGGACGAGGTCAGGATTCGCCTGTCTGTCTGTCCTTCCGCCCTGTCCGAGTCCGTCCGTCTGTCTGTCTGTCCATGGGGGCTTGGCGGTGGGGGGTGTCTGCTCCCCAGGGGGCAGGGGGTGCTGTCAGGCCCCGCTGTCAGGCCAGTGTCTGTCTGTCTGTCTGTCGCTGCTCATGGAGCCCATCCCACTGCAGCAGGTGCCTCTGTCTGTCTGTCTGTCCGTCTTAGGGGAATGTCTGTCGGTCCTGCCCCAGCAGGCACAGGGAGAGCAGGGTCTGTCTGTCCGGACATGGGGGTGGGGGGGTGGGGGTGGTCCTGTCTGTCTGTCTGTCCCAGGGGACGTAGGGAGGGGAATGCCTGTCTGTCTGTCCGTCCCAGGGGATGTAGGGGAAATACCTGTCTGTCTGTCCATTCCAAGAGATGGAGGGGGGGATGTCTGTCTGTCTGTCTGTCCATCCCAGGGTATGTAGGGGGGGATGTCTGTCTGTCTGTCTGTCCCTGGGTATGTATGTGGGGGTGGATGTCTGTCTGTCTGTCTGTCCGTCCGTCCGTCCCAGGGGATGTAGGGGGGATCTCTGTCCGTCTGTCCCTCCCCCTAGAGGAAGTCACCTGCCGGCGCAGGCACGGGCAGGGCACCGGGAGGGGAGGTGTCTGTCTGTCCGTCCGTCCGTCCAGCCCATAAGGCACCGGCTGGGGCGGGGCGGGGGTGTCTGTCCGTCCCCCCGGTCCCCCCGGTCGCTGCTAGGGGGGGGTCCCCGGTGGCTCTGGGGGGGGCCTGTCTGTCAGTCTGTCTGTCAGTCAGTCC